GAACCTTAAGGTCAGCGGTTCGAAACTACCAGCTGCTCCGCGGGAGAAAGATGAGGCTTTCTACTCCCGTAAAGATTTACACCCTCGGAAAACCTATACAGGGTCGCTATTGGTCGGAATCGACTCGATGGCACATAACAACAACAATGATGTAAACTGACCTGGGTTAGATTCCCAGATGCCTCATTTTCTACCTCTGTGGCTTTTAGTAAATGAGGTAACTATTTTAAGACTCAGTGTCTTATTAAAAAAAAAAAAGGGGGGGGGTCAATAAAATGATGTTACCATACAGGTTATTGTGGCAATTAAATAAGATTAACCAAAACTAGTTGCCTTGGAGAGGGCTCTGACTCAGGGAAATCCCATGTGGGTTAGAGTAGGATTGTGCTGATTTTTGGAAGTAGATTGCCACACCTTTCTTCCAAGGTACCTCAGCGTAGACTTGAACGGTTAACCTTTATTCAGCAGCCCAGTGTGTCAACTATTCACACTACTCAAGAACTCCCTTAAATAAGACAAAGTGTAGTTTTAAAAAAGCACAAATTCTAATATAGTCCCTCTAAGTAAAGGAAATGTTTGTGCTTAGAAAATAGTAAATATTCATCTGAATGATTATTATTAAACTTTTACATACCATTGCTATTTCTCAGTGTACAACAACAGCTTAGTCATCCACATGCTACACTGCTAGCTGTTCTGGAATCATCTCAACTCATGGCAATTCCCCACGTCACATCAGACCCACGTTCCACAGGATTTTCAACGGCGGACTTTTCTCCTGCGGTATCTCTGGATGGGCTCAAACTTCCAACCTTACGGTTATCAGCTGAGCACGTAAACCATTTGCAGGTGTTCGGTTGCTAACCTCAAGGCGGCGGTTCACATCCACCAGCCACTCCGTAAATATTTTCAGTCTCAGAAACATGACATAGGGCCACTATGTTTGATGGCAGTGGGTTTAGTTTTGGTTTGCAGAGTGTACCAAAAGGAGCCCTGGTGGTACAAACATTTAAACACTTGGATGCTAACAGAAGGCACAGTGGTCCTAACCCACCTAAACTGCTTCTCTAGCGATCAAAGGAGAAAGAAAAAAAGCTCATGAGGAAGTTCTAAAGTTCTCTTCAGTCCCAGGAGATCACTATAAATTGAGGTTGGCTCAATGGCACCTCACAACAACAGAAGGCTGCAAATGTCCAGTCAGGTTTTGAGCCACACCCTACTCTCTCTCTCTTAATATACACACATATAGAGAGAGTTCTGGTGTGGCACTGTGGGATAAGCACGGGAACTCAAAGCCAGCTTGTACCTCAAGGTCAGCAGTTCAAACCCACCAGCCACGCCTCAGAAACCTTATACAGGGACGCTGAGTTGGAACCAACTCGACAGCACTCAACAACGACAACAACAATACATAAGTGAAAATGACCGTCCTCACGTAATGAGCTTAGCATCAAGACAATTCTTCCTGATTCTTTTTCCAACTAGACGACCACTCCTGTCTTCTATCCATGTAGACAATCTGGAGTTAGCAATGGCATAGGTTGCCTTATTTTCTAATATTAAAGCTAAGAGGATCGGAACTAACATACCCAATGCTGTAAAGTCAGTTCCAACCAGAATAGAACCGCTCCTTGCATTTGCTGGGACTATAAATCTTTAAAGGAGTAAACAGACTCATTTTTCTCCCAGGGAGCAGCTGGTTTGAACCTCCCACCTTATGGTTAGCAACCTGATATTTAACCCACAGAGCCTGCAAGGCTCCTCAGAGCTAGTACAGAATGCTCCATACCCCAGTGTGAGAGTTGAGGTTGTGTGTCCATTTGACTTGTCCAAGATTCTCAGTGGTTTGTCAGCGATCTACCATGAGATCTCACATAAGGTAATAACTCTACAATAAGGTCTGTTATGAGCAGCCAATAAACCAGAAGGAAGTCTGCTTGGGGGTGTGGCCTACACTAGGACTCTTGGCAAAGCGTGTTTGCTCTCGGGTTGTGTCTGACTCCTTTATTGACCTCCAGTTCTTTTGACTTTAGTCAGTGGCCTGCTCTGTTACCTGCCTGCTCTATTATACTTCATCAGCAGCCTTTCTTCTTATTCTCCTGCCTGTCTCCCGTCTGACCTACAGACCTTGGTTCATAATCCTGCAGCTACAAGAGACGAAAGCTTCCAACCTGACATCTGACCCATGGACTTGGGACTCTCTCAACTTTACAACTGTGTGCCACTACTCATCTGTCAGTCTATCATACTGTGATGCTTGCATGTTGCCGTGACGCTAGGAAGCTATGCCACCAGTACTTTAAATACCAGCAGGGTCACTCATGGTGGAGAGGTTTCAGCAGAGCTTCCAAACGAAGACAGACTAGGAAGAAGAAGAGGCAAACCACTACTCAAAACCATATGAATATCATGGGAACATTGTCAGATACGGTGCTAGAAGATGACTCCTTCAGGGTATAAGGTACTCAAAATACAACTAGGGACACAGGGACAGCAACAATGGGCTCAAATATAACAATTGCGAGGATAGCAGAGGTCTGGGCAGTGTTTCATTCTGTCGTGCATAGGGTCGCTATGAGTC